TAAACATTTAAAATATGAATTAATAAATGGAACAAAATTCCTATAGGTTATTCAAAATTATACACTACAGAAATACCCATGGTACAAGTATGTAATGCTATAAAAGCTTTCTGCATTAAAAAAATTAATAATTTGAAGTTCTTTGAAATAAATGAGCAACAGAAGATTCAAAAAGATATACAAATGTAGAAAAATTCGACCTTCTAGCTCTACTATAATAACCATAATACTGAGTATGTCATTTCTGAAGAAGGTTTCTGCAATTGTATGTCCGAATAATAATAGTATGAGGTTTGACATTACACACAAATGAAATATTTACGATTTTGATACCTTTTCAATACTCCATTGCTATTGAAAGCAATTAAAAAGCTATTTAAATTTTATATATATATTTAGAATCTCGCTGCCTCATAGAGAATTTGTACTTTTACTTTACTGATAAAATATTATAATAATTAGGTCCTTTTCTTTGCAAATTTCTGCAGATTTTTGCTGCACTCTTTGAGGCGAGAACTTGTGAACTTACTTGGGTCGACTACTGTGTGGGCATGGAATGAATGCTGCTGCTGGTGGTTCTGCCTTTGTCTGGGCTGTGTTGGCGGCCTCTTTGAGGAAAGCTCCTACAACTTGCTGCTTGTGGCTTTGGGCGGCAAAAGTTCAAAGCGATCGGATCAGTCGCTCAATTTTTGACATTTTTACCATGATTTGGCCGCAGAATAGTCAATAGTCACAGTACAATTCGTCTTCGTAATGAGCCTGTTCGCTGCGATCGCAGGAGTTGAACCCACACACACAAGCAAATATAAAAATAAGTATACTTGTATATACAAGCATATATCGATTGGTTATCAGTCGAATTGTCACTTCTAACCCGTTTGCTTGCCCAGAACCTTCATGTGTGTGTGTTTGTATTTCCAACGTTGGGTTCAATTGTGCAAATATTTTTCGAAGAAATCGAAAGTAAATTCCACACGAGCAAATAGATATATAAAATTTTAAAATTTTATGTACTTGTTTATTTTGGGCTATTTTCCTTAAATAAACAGTGAAGGGCAGTCTACGGCGGTTTTATTTATTTTTTTCTTAGTTGTGCGTGCAGATAACAAGTTTGGGGGCGGAAATGTGTACGTCCAATATTCCACTATGGATAATGGTAGGGCAGGCCCACTGGCTGACTGGCTGGCTGGCAGGCTGGCTGGCTGGCAGGCTGGCTGGCTGGCAGGCTGGCTGGCTGGCAGGCTGGCTGGCTGGCAGGCAATGATCGGGACTGCACGCCTGTGACTGCGGCAATAAAGTTTATAATTTATAGACCAATCAGGCAGCCATCGCACACAGTAAAACAAGTGAAAAATCATAGTCCAAACACATAATGCGTCAGTTGATCAGCAGACGCTAAAGCTGGCGCAGTCAGTGCAGTCAGCCAGCAATTTATAAGATGCGCATCGGCTATAGCCAGCCGCACAGCGGGTTGTCGAATCGATCCCCGTCCCAGTCCCAGTCCCAATCCCAGTCACAGTCGCAGTCGCAGTACCAATCCGAGTCTGCGACTGCGTTTGCGACTGCGCAGTGCGCAGAGCGCTGTGCAACTTGCCAATTGATTTATACAAACGGCAAAGCAACGGAACACAAATTGGTTGCTCGGTGGACAACAGAGTACGTTGCATGATTTGTTGCACGGGCGCTCGCAATCGCCGCATACGCAGAACTTTTTGGCACAGCCGCACTCACAGTTTAACCTTTTGAACTCGCACTAAGGCTGGCCCGAATCGTCTTAGCCACGTGTGGCCAGCTTTGCGTGTTGCGTGTTGTTTTGATAGTGACGCATGTAATTCACAGAAATCATTAACTGAAGATCAACACAGCAGCGGCGAACAGAAATAATAATAAGTTTCTAATGAAAAAAAATTGATTCAATGTTTAATTTCTTTTAGAAAATTCATTTTGATATTTTTGGAAACGAAATAAAATAGCATTCTAATCAAATGTATGCTTTAGCCCAGACTCTGCAAGATTATAAACATATAACCCAGGTCCCTCTGTACTAAGACCTACTTATTTTAATAAGTACCTATCTGCTTCAACTAAGCTGCAACTGGTAAACTCCACAAAAATATGCAAAAAGGCATTTTTTCGGCGAGTTATATTTTAGTCAGATAAAGACCCATAAAAGGTAAGGGATAAGAAATAATTTATTTTAAGCAAAAATTAATATTAAACTAAAATAATCAAGAATTTAATTTGTATAATAACTGAACAATTCAATAAATTAAAATCAAATTAAATTTAAAATGAAATAAAACTAAGATATTCGAAAAAACTCTTAAAGAGAATAAAAGTTTGAAAATACTCTTTTAAAGGCTATTATAAGTATTTCGCTTTATTATTTTATTTATTAAACTTCAATTCTTAATTGTTTTATTTTAAAACTGAACTGCGAATTTCCTGTCTGAGGGTTTCCCCTATTCAGAGGGAGATTAAACCTATCCTTGTAGATAAAACCATTAAGAGATATAGGCAGAGGACAGCATTATTATATGTACATATTTATGTATATACTTACAGCACACATAAGTTGTATTATACAATTATTAAGCAAACAAGAAAATGTATTAATTTATCGTGGCAATATCTCATGGGAAAAAGACAACTCGGCAAAAGGCCTAAGTAAGAATAATAATAAAATAATAACATAAAAATACATATAATAAATTCAAAAACCAAAACAAATTTGCGAATAGGTTTTAAAAAATGTGGTTTGGTTTTTAGAAAATACTTGTATAATAAAATTTATAAAGAAATAGCTTTTCAGATTTAATTAAGTAATTAAATTTTGGAAAGCATTTTGAATATTTTGGAGGGCTTGATGGATTCTATTAATTTTTTTTAAGTTTCTAAATGTATTTATCAATGTGAGAAAATTTGTTTGTAAGCTTAAAAAATTTCAAATAATTGCAAAATTTCAAAAGTTTAGGCATTTTCTTAAGTTTTAGAAAATAGAATTGTTCTCAATTCAAAGCACCATTTGCTTTTGTGATAGATTTTTAGGAACGATTTCGAGGCAATCAATATATTTTAATAATAATTATCATAGAAAAAGTCGAGAACGACAGAGTGTAGGCATTTTTCTTCACTTCCTGATGTGCGAGTTTTGCTCATAACTGAAATCAGCTAACATTGCTTTTCTTTCATCAGCATCATTAAATCAATATTTACAGATAATTGTAGATGAAGAAATCTAAATTTGATCTTGGTCTGTATATTTTTTCCGTGCACTTGCTTTGCTTTGCTTTGCATGTAGCTCGCGTAGCTAATTAGTCGTTAGTTTGTGCCATAAATGCACACAATCGTACATACCCGACCATGCCAATGGCAATTCCCGGCGGCTAGACGCAAGTGAACTTGTTTAGCTGAAATTCGAAGCCCCATGGATTTGACTGAAAGTGATGTGCAGGCGGCGTTGAGCGTTGAAAAAAAGAGGACGAAGAAAATGCAAAAAGACGAATAGACTGACTGACATACAAAACAGACACTCGTGGCAGCCAACAGATGTCGCAGTGTCGCCCATTTAGGCCATTTGGCTTGGCTGGTTGGCTGCCCGGCCGCTATGCTTGACACCAGTTTATCAGACTCTGAGCCGAGCGCACAACGGGCAGACAAACAATAAATTACGCAATCCAAACGTTCGACTGCAGTCCATCAATGGCATAATGAGGCGGCCAGCGCACGAGTCCAGTGAGCCCAGCGCTGATGCATTACCATATCGGCATAAATTCCGGAGCATCGTTAAGTGGGCTGAATACGACGACGACGGCGACGACGACGACGACTGAGTGGCCGCTTGCCAGACAAACAGGCTGGCCAAGCAGGTTGCATGCCACGCCGCCACCTAATGAGGGAATTGCCGCCGTCAGCGGCACCAGCAGCCGTACAAGCCGCACAAGCTTCCTCCATCCTTGTCACCCTCCTCACCCACCTCACCCACCTCACCCACCTCACCATCCCCATCATCAGCATCGTAGATAATGGTTGTGTGAGTACAAGGTAGGCGTTGTACTTACAGCCTCTGGCATTCTCCATTCAAGACAACATCGACGACCTTTCACCTCGTTACTAATTTATGATGCTTTTGTTCGACGCGCTCAATTAGACGTTCGGCGAATTCCACCCATCAATATCTGATCTGCCACCCACTTGAGCTATTTCGAGTCCCTTGATACACCCACACCCTATCTTGTCGCTGCCAAAACTTTGAAGCTCGAATCGCTTGAAGTCTCAGGCGCTGACTTATTAATCAGACATGAGCCCGTTTCCGAATTCGACCGAATTCAATGAAATGGAAATTAGAATTAAATTCTGTTAAACTGTCGAGCAATTCGTGCTGAGAAGTTTTTGAAGTGAAACTTGCTAGTTCGGCAACCTTTTCAGTAACGAAACCAATAGCACGGTAACAGGCGCACATAAATGAAAAGCAAGTAGACCAGCTGGATATTTTTCTTAGCCAATTTTATAGCTATAAACTAGGGAAGTTTCTAGCCATTTCTAGCAGTTTTTCTATATATTCATAGTGGGTTTTCAAGACATTTTCTAGCGGATTTTTAGATTTTCTTTAGCTACTTGTAATGGTTTTTCTTGTAATTTTCTAGCGGCTTTTAGAGCTATTCATAATAGTTTGTAAAGCCATTTTCTAGTTGTATAGCTGGATAACCGAAAGCGATAATTCTTTTCAAGCTAAATTTACATGAGTAAACAATCATTGATATAAAGCTATAAATAATCTCTAAAAAATTAACTCCAATTAAATCATTGGATTTATTATTCCATTGTCCACTATTGTTTATAGTGTACCGATTTTGATTCCACAAAATTCAATCGTCATATGCGAGTATATGATAAGTAGTGTATTCTGGATAGTTCCAGAAAATATGACATCCCAAAAGGTGGAGCGGGACGAGTATTTTTTGCAAATTCAAATTAATGGAATATGTTTATTGCATAAATTTATTTTTTAGTAGGTTTTTATTAGTCTTCTAATCTTTTGGATGAACCGCCGCCATATTCTCTGATTATATCCAAAATAGCAGTGTACGTACCAGTAACCAGTATGGCCGCACCAATTATGATCAAAGCTATATCCTTCCATAACTTCCACTTGCCCGTACCATAGGTACTTGCATAGAGCAGACATATTTCAATGATGGCCGGAAATATTAGGTTCAATATGGAAATGGTGAATGCGCCAACCAGCGCTAATAGTGGACCCAAATTGGGGAAAGCTAGGGCATTCAATGTGTTGAGTACAACAAAAGAGAAGCGTACAGCGTACTCGATCATGTGCGGGTTCTTTACTTCACGATCCTTCAGGACATAGTGGTTCATAATTATATCAATGGTCACATATCCGGCCAGTGGATAGGTAAGGAATACGGCCAAGGAAATCGCAAATTTTGAGAACTGTGAGAGACTAAGGGACTATGTTTATTAGAATATACAGTATATGTGGCACTTACAATTCATCCTGAGGCACGTTTAAAGTAACACTGGCACCCAGACTGTCCCCATAACGCCAGTATCCAATCATTCCAAAGGCCACGTTTGTTACAATCACAAAGATAATGCCGCGATTTAGTATGCCACAACAGCCCAGATAGGCTCCCGGATTTGCCATATTTGATTCAATGGACAGCATCTAAAGGAGTTATTCCTGAATATAACCTGAACCCAGAGAAAGCCATCGAATGCTTACCACGCCCACTGCAGTCACGGCAAAGAGCACAATGCCGAAGAAGAGCGGCAGTAGCAACGGATCGCCGAACATCCTTCGATCAGTTATTTCTGGTAGCCCCCTAACGAGATAGTACGAAATGGCCATGAATCCCAAATACATGCATATATTTGCAATTATATTGAACGGCACCAAATACTTAAGATGTCGTATGAGAAACAATGGCAACAACATGCAGCCAACAACTACAATCAAGATGTGTAAGTCGATCGGGGTCCATAAGTGGTCCAATAGTTGCTTCCAATTATATGCCACAAACACAATGTAAACCACTCCGATGCAGTACTGCGAAAAGCCCAGAACCCCATCCACGAACCAACCCGAACAACGGGCCATATAACGAAAACATCCCGGTCCCTGGCTAAAAGCGTGCGCCATAGCCTCTGGAAATGTCGCGTAGCCTACCTGTTTTTGGCGCGCCGCCTCCACCATGCAATGGATCTGCGATTAGTTGTGTAAAATATATTACATAGTGAATATTTTTAGTATCTCTTGGGTCTACAACGCACCAACAGATGCATGCCATAGGTTAGAACTATGGTGGTTATTGTGGTTAGCACCGCACCACCTATCATGCCAGTGTACGCGATGGCGAGGGGCATGGCCAGGACGCCGGTACCAATAACGCATTTCAGCAGAGATATGAATGTATCACAATTGCTGAGAAAGGGAAGTACGAGAAAAAATCATCAGACTATTAATGTTATCATACTAGCCAGGAAGGGTGATATCATTTCCTAAAAGAGACAGAAAATACTGATTTGGTGTGCATGTAAAACGTTCTCAAGATTTCTGATCTCAATATCTTCTATTCATTTTCTTTGTTTTCTGAGCAGGAGGAGGAGAAGAAAGATATATTTACATTGAGATGCATCCAAATAGTTTACCAACGCCTTTCTCCTTTAGCTACAATATTGTATTAGTAAAGTTCTTATGGGAGCTATATAAAATAGTCTATACATAATTTTTGAAAAAGTAGTTTTGCGTATGGCTAATGCAAGTCTTCATGTATGCCAAGTTTGGTGTTCATCGGTTTAGTGGTTTAAGAACTATCGATGTTCATACAGTCGAACAGGCGGACAGAAAAACGGACCCAGATACGAGTAGAACATTGTGAGTCTCTTAGTGAACCATTTAATTTTTAAAGAAGCTTGTAGTAGGAAAGCTCAGCAGCTTTGAGATACTTACGTGAGTGGTTTTTCCACATTTCGATGCTCATAAGGATTAAAGTCCCTATATAATAAAGTGGCGGTTATGTTGGATTTGCAATATAATAAAAGAAAACGAGCTTACCCCTCAGCCATTGTAAGAGCTGCCCTATATTAATCCTATATGCGTCGTTTGAGCAAACGAATACCAAAAATATAAAAATATAAATACGACAGTGAAGGCAAAGTTTATTCTGTTCAAAAATCAGATCCTATAGTATGTTAAAGAAGGTGCATTGTAGTAATAAAACTACTGGCTGTTTATTCGGCGGGCGTTGTTATGTTTGGCTCGATATATTCGTTATCTGGAGCTCTCGGGAATGCTGTACCATATTCCCTTACCATAATCCTGATGGCGCTATAGGTGCCAGAGAATAGTATAATAGAGCCGGCCAAGATCATGAGGAAGTTCTTATACAGCCTCCATTTGAGCAAGCCATAGGAGACATTATAACGTAAACACAACTCTATGATGGCTGGAAATATCAGGTTGATTATAGATACACAGAATGCACCGACCACCGCTACTAGGGGACCCAAATAGGGGAGGGCCATGGCATTGAGTGTACCTAGAAGTACGAACAAAAGGCGTACAGTGTACTCGATCATATGGGGATGCTTCGGCTTGCGATCCTTCAGTATATAGTGGTTCATGATGATATCTATGGTGACAAAGCCGGCCAGAGGATAGGTAAGAAACGTCGACATAGCCGTCGCAAACTTCGAGTACTGCGAAATACTGTACACATGTTTGCATTGCGAAGGGGCATTTGGAATGTGTCTCATCTACAGATCACTTACGTCTCATTCGTGGGTAGGTTAAGGGAGATGCTCGCTCGGGTCTTGTCTCCATACCGCCAGTAGCCAATCAGTCCGAAGATCACATTTATCACGATGATGAAGGCAGTGGAGCAGTTCAAGAGACCACAACAGCCTAAAAAGCTTTGTGGCTTTTCCATGTTCGACTCTATGGCCAGCATCTACGGGGCTTGCACAATAAATACTATCTGGGAGAGCTGTAAACTCAAATAACTTACCACTCCCACCGACGTGACAGCGTACAGGACAATGCTAAAAACTAGCGGCAGTTGCCACGGATCGGCCACCAATTTACGATCCGTTATGGGCGGCAAATCTTGAAAGAGAAAATAGAAAATGGCCGCAAGCCCCGTGTACATTAGAATGTGAGCAATTATGTGAAACGGTACCAAAACCTTGAGATCTCTTATCAGAAATAATGGTGTTAGGCAAACACCCACAGCGATTATGAGGGATTTCAATTCGATAGTGTCCCAATAATAGTCCAGAAACTGCTTCCAATTGTATGCCACAAACACAATGTAGACCACGGAGATGCCATAATGTGAGAAGCCCAACACAACATCCACTAAAAGGCCCGATGTACGGGACCAATTATGGCACCATTTAGGACCCTGGGTAAAAGAATATACCATGGTATCCGTATAGGAGGCATAGCCTGTCGCTGTTCGTCGAGCCGTCTCCAGCATGCAATGAATCTGAAAAAAAAATTTATAAAGTACCAATAAAACCCAGTTGGGACTGAACACACCAACAAATGGATGCCATAAGTCAGCACTATGGTTGAAAATATTATTAGCGCGGTACCGCCTGCAAGTCCAGAAAATTTGTACGCCAAAGGCATTGCCAGCAAGCCGGTGCCCAGAACACAATTCAGCAGAAATACGAGTGCATCAAAATTGCTGCAAAAATTATTTTCCACTTTTACAAATATTGGTAAAATTTTTGTGCGGTCAGACAGGCAAATAATTTGCACGGCTAACAAGTAGCCTGTGAGAAGAACGTCTAAAAACACGTCTTTCTCAAAAATAGTAATTTTTCCCTACATTTCATGATTTGCTTGAAAATTATTTGGCTATGTGACCAGCGATTTTTTGGGATTTGCCTGAACAAAACTTACGAGAGTGCTCCTTCCACCTGGCGATGCTCATAGGGATTAAAATTGCTGTAAAGAGTGATCAGAATAGGCACTGTTTTATTATGGAGTCACCTGATCTTACGCATCATCCATGCTGCAGACTTCTACACGAATCCCATTACAATAAAATAATACAAAATATAACAATAAAGGTAGAAATGAAAAGCAAAGTTTATTCAGTTCCGAAATCACCTCCGAGTGTTATATTGGTCGATCATGGATCGCAAGGAGACCACAGTGCCGGCAATGCCGCCACACAAGCCAACAACTATGAACAGCACCGAGCGCCAAAGTAAATAATTTCCACGCCCATAGCCTTGTTCGTACCACAAACACAAATCAATAATCCCCGGATATATTAGACCCAGTTGGGCCAAACAGAACGAGCCCACAAACGAGAGCAGCAGTCCAAAGTTTGGATAACCAATGGCGCATAGCACAGAGGCAACAACCACGGCCATGCGAACGAGAACTTCCAGGGAATATTTGGCATTCTCTTGAATTTGTGGCTCTATATAATGCGTCCATATGATGTCCATTGTGACATAGCCCTGTAGGGCGTACGAGAAGAAAATTCCCATTGCAAACATAGCCATTATGCATTGAGGAAGTCTGCAGGTTTGATCAAACAATAAAGTATCACGATTCTACATAAATGGGTAATCCAAGCTTACATATCATCCGTAGACAGATTGTTTAGTATAGAGCTGGATATGTCCTCGCCATATTGCCAGTAGCCGAAAAGGCCAAACAGGGTGTAGAACACAACCACAACAAACATGGCGCGATTCAGGACACCAAAGGTTCCCAAATAATGTTCCGGATGCATCATATTGCGCTCAAGCGCTAAGATCTGAAACAAAAGAGCAACCAGATCCTATAATTCCAAGAAAAATTACATCATCATTTGACCGAAAACTTACCACACCCACCGACTCAATGGCGAACAGAACAGTGCCAAAGAAAAGCGGATACTGGGACAAACTCTGGATGGCTTCACGCTCCTCCAAGCTGGGCAGATCGTCAAAGATAAAGGTAAGTAATATAATAATGCCTGCCAGCAAGCAACACAGACAATTAATTTCAATTCATTTTAAATTCGACTTAACTCACTAATGGTCAGCAACACATTGGATAATAAAGCCAAAGGGACCAGATATTTTAGATCTCGTATGAGATACGTAAGCAGCAGCGGTAAGGTCAGGAGCGCCATATAAATTCGCATATCGATGGGTGTTAGATAAATATCCCCTAATAGCTTCATATTTTTCGCTATGAACACAATATATACACAATCCACACCAAAGTGATAAACGCAGAGAAATACATCCACCATAAAGCTGAAGTGAGAAAGAAAATGTTAAGCTTTATGTATGTACATAATATATTATTAAATGTGATAAAATATAATTCAAGTTGGCTGCCGCTTCTTGTAGATACATAGAGACTATATATATATATATAATCATAAATTCTATGTCGAGATGAAACATAAGATATAGACGTTATAAGGCGTAAAAATATGTATTCAAATGATCTATCATGATGAAACTTGGCATACGGGCACATAATCACTAACTGAGGGTATTTGGGTCAAAAATTCCCAGAATTACGAGAGTTATGGAACATCACTAACTGTGGGGAGTGGTGAGGTACGAAGGAAAATTCTGAAAAACAAGTTTTCTGCCTGTTTATATAAGGCATCATGGACTAACATTTTGTATCTACTCTTCGAGATAAAGGTGATTGTACGAACGGCGTATCCAAAATCCCCCAATATGGAAAAGTGAGGAAAATAAAAAAAAACCCCAAGGGCATTTTATGAAGTGCTATTACATTTTGGCCCTTACAAATTAAAAATATTTTATATTGTCACTAAAATTACATGACTGTTTCATCAAGAACTATGTATGGCGTAAGATCACAAGTTTTGGTGACCCCGATCTAAACTTGGTTAGTTTCTTTGTTGTTGTTGCAGCCCGTGCTCTAACTCAGAAAGAAGTCGAATTATTTTCCTTCCAAAATATTCTTTCGTTAGTAACTTACGCAAAGGGCTTGTGATATGGATGTAGCCATATGGGTCCATTCATGATCGCCAACTCCATAGCCTCACTGTAACTGAGTAGACTCATGCCATAGCGCCTGCACAACTGGTTTATGTCGGAGAGCTGAACAAATTAGTGAATTACTGCTGGAAATTGGAAATATATTAGCTGATATATAGCTACCAAAACATGCATGGCATAGACAATGAAGGAACTAATTAAAACAGTGCTTATAATGCCCATTAGCCAGCCAGCATTATAATAGGCACGCGGCATGGCCAAACATCCAGTACCAAAAGCACATTTTATCAGATTGATAAAGGCCTCGGTATCGCTGAATATAGAAGAAATATAGAAAGGGGTGCATTCGCAAAAACAACATGGATTTAGCTTACGTCATCTGCTGCGGATAGATGCGTTTTATGTTAGGATCAAAGGCCAACGTGGAGCTGTTGAGAAAGCCTGATTAGATAATGGCTGGAATCGGTTAAGTGTTGCCACCTACCCGATACTGCGCTGAAATTTTTGATATGGGCTTAAATTTCCTGTGTTTAAGCACCTAAGCACCGGCTTTTTGTCTTCGAAGGTCTGTCGACGCTTTGGTTTCTTCGCTGCCATAGCTCTTTTCATTTTGTGCACCTAAGATGTATATCTCTCTCTGCTGTCTTGATACATATTTTGGATATTGGATATACATATATTCTCAGCGCCAACTTTGTCTGCCAATTATGCAAATATATTTTGTGGTAGCAGAACAAAGAATACCAAAAGCTCTGTATAGCAGCGCTGAAAAGGGTCGCTCTTTTAAATATTATGAGCATGGCCTGCAGCATCGGTTCATTCCAGGAAAGTAAAGCCAGTCTAGCGGCTTTTGTGTGTGGGCGTTTAAGCTCGAAGCTAAGGTATTTGTTATGTGTCGAGTCGACTACCTAAATTATGCACTAGCCCGCTGGGCAGACCAGCGAGCACAGTGAAGGCACAGTCAAGGCTGTTGGGACAAACTAATTAGTGGATCATCCGATGCCAACAACAACACAACAACAACAACAAGAATAATAAAGCAGACAACAAAGTTCAGGCAATTTTTTTTTGAAGCTGCTGGCCATAAATTGGCAATCGCATTTGCCAAGTACAGTTTCTAGTTAAATCTGCTTGGTCTGGCAAATGTGTCCCTCCCGCTGTTTTGCGCATTTATTTAACTATAATATATGCGTTTATCCACCCAACACAACCCCAGCCCCAGCCCCACCCCCCACCTCTGCTCACTCCACCTCTCGTATAGCCTTTGTGTTGGCGGAAATGTTGTTTTTTCTATGCAAATTTTCGCATTGCATGCCAAGTGTCTTTCTTTCTCCACAACTCTCTCACTCGCTCGCTCGGTCTCTCCCCCCTCTCTCTCTCTCTCTCTCTCACTCGCTATTTGTGATTGTGTTGTGTTGTTGTGTATTTGCTTTTGCCTGGCCAAGTCAAGGGTCAACTACGCATTTGGCTGTTGCGTATTACCTGTGCGGTCTTCAAGGTGTTTTCCACTACACCATTTGCATAAATTGTTGCTGTTATTGTTGTAGTGTTGTTGTTGTTGTTGTTTTCTTGCTAGAAAGTGCTGTGCCAAATAGAAACTGAAAATACAAAAACAAATACTGCAATGTGCGCGGGAGGTCAACAAAAGCACACACACACACACACCAACCCATTTGTTACAGTTTAAAATGTACATACAAATGTATAATGCATTATCTTTGACCTGAACGAAGCTTTAATACCCTTTCGATTCACGAGACTTATAGTAATGATAGAAGCAGAAACAACATAATGCTCTGGCAATTCATCAATTAGCTTCCTTTCTTTCGTTACAACAATGCTATACTTCGACGCTAAGAAATCAAAATATTCGTATTTCTTGGATAAATATTTTGTAGCTCGCAGTAGCTTTAAGTACCTTTTATAATTCGGCTTGAATTTCCTTAATCATGTCAAAATTAAAGAGCCTGAAATCCCATACACCTAGATTAGGCGAATATGGTGGTTGTGGAATGAAATACTAAGGTTAAAAAATCAAAAGTTGTCTTCACAAAAAGACGGTTATTTAAGACAAATAATATTACGTGTTGGTCTTTTATAATGAACTGACAACTTTGGCGCGGATTTTTCGGTTTGGACTAGTCTTTGACTGATTGGGTTTTTGCGGAACCAAACGAGATTTGATTTTTACGGGGCACAAAAGTTATCTGAAGATGGTGTTGACTGATCCATTTGAAATGCCAACAACATTAACAATATCGTTATCAGATTTGGTATTTTGATATTTTTCTAATTTCCTTTAAACCTTTTATCTAGCCTGCCTTGTTTGTCGGCGAAATAAATGAATAAATAATAAATAAATAAGCAGTATATGTAGTCAATCGATAACTTTGGAGCTACAATTCTTTGATTTTTAATATGTACAAGTATCTTGGATGTTTTTCATCTCCAACGCTTTCCAATGCCTCTTTCCACGCTTTATGCCTTTCACAAACTTGTATTTGTTCATATCGAAACACCCGCTCGATTTCAATTCGAGTTTTCGGTACATATTTGCAGACAGTATATATATGTATATTTTGTATATGTATATTTTGACAAACAGCGGTCTCAAAAAGAAGCACAAATTAGTTGTTATATTAACAATTTAAAACCCTTTCGATATATACCATAATTTGCAGCTTAGAAATGCCGGTTTTTATGCTGCGCATGTTCACTTAAAAAAAAAATAAGCATTTTCCTCAATATTGTCTGCCTGGAAAATTGGTACTACACTTATTTTGTTCACTCTTGTAATTTGACAATTGAAAGACTCCACAAGTATTTAAAAAATATTACTGCGGATTATTTAAGCTATTTCACACGCTATGTTTCATACAGCTTATTAGAGGTATACTTATGAATGAGTTTGAGAGCACGGTCGTTTTTGTGCAGGGTATAGCCACAACATTAAAATATGCGCATTGTCAATGCATTGCAGCGTCGTGTACGAGTACACGCTGCGTATGAATTTTCAATTGACCCGGCTCAGAATTAACATAGTAATGACAACATTTTGCCATTGCGGCCGCTAAATACCGCAATACAGGGTTGTACGAATATTGGGCAGGGTAACTGGCAACAGCAACAAACGCTTTGTAGTTGAAGACATCAATTGTTGTTGCTGTTGGTTGGTTGCAGGCTGGTTGTTGGTTGTTGGTTGCTGGTCTCGTGCCTGGTCAAGTGTGTCAGTTGTAGAGAAACATAGTTCGCATGTGGTTCAATAATTCCAACAGTAAATGCTAAACTATGCGCATAGATTGTCAACGCGCTAAGATGCTTAGCTGATTGCTTGGCTAGCTAGCTAGCCAGCTACCTATCTGGCTGGCAGGCTGGCAGGCTGGCTCACTGGATACTTGACTCCGAGCCGAGCGTCATTAAAGTGCAGACAAATGGCAACGGCATGTGCGGCACATGTCAAGCAGCAAACGGCAGCAACAAGTGGCAACAGGTGAAAATGCTGGAATTCTGATTATCTCTCTCTCACTCAGCCGTCTGCCAATCATTGCTGCCACAGCAGCAGCAGCAGCAGCACAAGCAGCATCATCAGTAGCAGCAACTTAAACTGTAACTTTCGACGATTTGTCGTCATTGCTTTGCCTTGTTTGCTTTTGCTCTGGCCTGTTACTTGGATGTTTGGCCACAAAAATATCAACTGTAATTTACGTATTTTTAAATGCCTGCGCAAATATACTTACAAATCCATACACCATAATTATGCAGCAATGTTGCAGCAACATCAATAGCAGCAGCCACAGCAGCAGCAGCAGCGGCAGCAACATGCCTAGTCAACAATGATGATGATGGTGGAGTTGGAGTCGAAATCAGTCTTATAGCATATGCCTGCCACGTAGCTTGTATGGCCGTTGGTGCAACATTTCTTGTAGACAGCCATGCCATTTATGTGGCACTGCCCACATTCAATTTACAGCCGGAAGTGTGGGTGTGCACGCATTTTGATATACTTTTTGCGTTTTGTTTTTTTTTTTTTTTTTTTTTTGGTTGCCCCAACTTCAACTCATTTGCAGGGCACATAAATCAAAAATCGCAGCAGCAACAACTCCCGCATAAAAAAGTATGAAAAACTCATATAATGATTGGGCCAGAGCATCAAGCACCAAGCAGCAACAACATAATGGCACAGCCACAACAAAAAGTGGGAGGATGCAGTGAATTTTCTCTTTGTAAGTTATTTTTTAGCTTTGGCTGCTTCTGCTGCCGTTTTCTGTTGCTCTTTTCTGTTGGCGGGCAGTGCCTTTTTGGGGCCGTCAGGCATTTGAGCGCGCTCGCCAAAGCGGCAGGTTCCTGTCTGGCCAACATGGACTCGAGGCAACGCGACGACTCCACGACGTTGGCTGCATTTTTAAACGCAGCCGTGCCGGACAAAAGGCCGTCGCATAAAATAAAAAGAAATTGCAGTTAAAATGCCGCTGCCGCAGGGCCCAAAAAGCTTTGGCCCAGCAGTAGCCTGCCAGAGCCCTTCTGCCTGCGTTTTCTTCAATGAAACATACAGAGCGCTATGCAGGATGCTTGACTCTGTCTATATGCTACACACACTCTGTTATGTGCATGTGTGTTAGTGTGTGTCTGTTGTCCTGAGCTGAAAACAGCTTCTGCAGATACAGCAGCTAATTTGAAGTTGGCGATCAAGAGCAACCATCAACAAGAAGAACAATACTTTTGGGGGAGAATCCGACTTTGGGATGCGCTTTAATATACTGGGTGGCTTTTGGTCTAAATTTAAAAGCTCTATGGAGACTTTAAAACTCTTCTTATTGAACTAGATATCATAAAAATAAAGTTCTTTTAAGATATACTTGATATGATAAGTAGAGACCAATTCTAATTCCTCTCCTGTTCGCAGCTTCCTACTTAGTAGCTTCTCAAGCCAAGAAGCTGAGCATTACAACAGAGAACAGATGCAGGAAATGCAAAGAACCGGAAGTGCCACTGAGCAACACTGCTGACATGCAGGGAGAAATGCCACAGCATGCACATGCCTGCCTCCTTGAAAAGACTCCAACGCATTTCTGTAATTTTTAGAAAAAAGTAAAACATAGCCTCTTCGGTCTAATAACAGCTCTATCTAACCTTTATATATTCACGAAAAATGCAAAATGTTTAATTATTCAACGCTTGTAGTTTTTGTGAAAGAGTCAGTCGACGGCGTTTATTAGATAGTATTCTAATTTAGCTTTTTATAACTTTTATATTGTTTCGTTATGTCGACAGTCATTGTTTGTTGACATTAAAAAATATAATGAAAATAAATATACCTACATATTATTGAGTTGTTGTTGCTGTCTTAGCTTTTAAGTTATAGCGCATTCCGCTTGTTACCAAATGGTTGAACACTCCACTATACCCATGCTTTTATCGGCTACAGGGCATAAATGAAACATGTTGCTCTTGCATCGCTGCAATTGTCTGTTGTTGCTGATGTTGCCGCTGCGCATGCGCAGATCTTATGCGATAATGATGCAAGTTAATCATTAGTTTGGAACGTGTATTATGCGATTATTAGTTGGATGCTGCGAGGATTACACAACACTGATGCTGGTGGTGGTTGTTCTTGC